ACAACCTGGACATAGGAAAGGGGAGGGGGGAGGAAGGGGGTTATTTAGATTCGCTAGGCAAAGCAAGGAGTGAGTGTTTGGCAATGTTTCAGTCCCATCTCATCGAGGCTAGTGTCCTCAGCCCCCCCCCCCTCTCTCTCTCATTCACTCTCTCCTCCCTCCCCCCCTCTCTCTCTATCACGGTTTGTGTTTGCCCTGATTTGGTGGGTGTATGGAGAGACAATTCTGGTTCAGCTGTTTATTGATAGGAGGGGTAGGTAGCGTGGTGCGGGCTGTCTCGTGCAGTGCAGTTGTGGGCAAGGGGAACCCAGAGAGTGCGCCGAGCGGGGGTGTGGGGAAACACCCAGTGGGCATCTTTTCAGGGCCGTGAACCCTGGTCAAATTTGCTGCCCTGGGTCAATTGCCAAAGCATTCAAGAACAGGGTCGGTAGCACCTATTGCTTGGGGACGCGGCTAGGTACTCCTCATTCCTCAGACTCTCCTACAAACCACGACTTACAGTCGCGTTCATGAATCGCGAAGCACGGTTTGGTTGGGGTTAACTTGAGTGTGATGGGCCACTTGGCTCTGCCCTCGCAATCATATACTTACAGGAAGTATTAATGTCTATTATATCACATTAAGTTTGAGATACAAATTGATTTAAAGTGCATCGTCAGTCAACCTGACGAAACTGAATGATGTAAAATGAAAAGCAATGAATGTGTGCAGCGGTGCATTAATATGATAATGGTGGGATATATAATTGTCAAATTATTAATTGACAGTCTTTAGACTTGGGCAGGTTGGGCACTATCCAGCAAACTTCCTCGCTCACCCCGCGAAGGGCCGAGTCAAGCTTCACTTTACCCAAGGCTAAGGGGATATTCCCTTAGCCTTGACTATACGCCTTTATTTGTAGTTTCAGCGGCTGGTGTCCAACACCTTGTCGGTGTTTCCCCTCCAAACCCATTGCTTTCGATATCCGTCTTTTACATATTAATTTCGTTATTTTTGGTAATTAAATAATTGTAAACATCTGGAAATATAATGGCGTATGAACTAATGTCATATGTTCTTTTCCAAATAACATCAAAAGTTTACCATTATCTTAGTAGTGAATCCAGGTGATATAAGACGGAGAAGTGAGAGAGTAGCTGCTGAGGATAATGCAGATCCATATACTAATATATATCCTTCATATATGTATGAAGGATATTTCCGTCTGACGAATATTGATATGAATACAGTTCCAATAAAAAATATAAGCTTTCTTGGCAATCATTTTCGAAATAATAAACGATAATTTACTTCTTAAGGCAGGTTTCCAACATATCCAATAAATTAAAAACTAAACAGGAATAAAAGCCATTCCTCTCTCTCTCTCTCTTAATGTATATTTTAGTCATTTTTGCAATTCTTCGCCTGGTTTCCGTACTTTCCCACCTCCTCACATTCGAACTATCCTAACTATGCCCTAGTTGTTTGAACGCGGGCCTCCTTTCAAGGCAAGAAGGGTATGATCTCACTGAGCCCAGGACAGGCGAGGCGTCACCGCTTTTGTTGCTGGCTGTACTCTTCCCCATATATATATATATATATATATATATATATATATATATATATATATATATATATATATATATGTGTGTGTGTGTGTGTGTGTGTGTGTGTGTGTGTGTGTATTCAAGTATATATATACATATATTTAAACATATTTATATACATATTTATNAGATCGACAAGTGCGAATGGTCTGGCTTAGTCTACACCTCGAAAGATCTAATGCGTCCCCTAAAAGTGTTCAGAAAGCATATTCGCACTTACACGCCGCCAACATGCTCCACGCGAGGAACCAGCAGCAGTAGTGGCTCAACCAAACAATCTTTGCGAGAAGAGGCGCCGCAGATCCCGGAAAAGGCGTCTCATGAGACGCTGTGTTCGCCAGCATGTGATGAATATAATACTGAGTGTTCGCAGTGTGATTACAAGTGTGAATCTGCTGATATCCTAAATAAACATGTGTTAATACACAGTGGAAAAGAACTGTTGGAGTGTTCAGAGAGTAGGAAAAGATTTGCTGACAGTGATAAGTTGAAGGAAACCCAAAAAATAGAATCAGGAGAAAGGCCGTTCGAGCGTTCCGAGTCTGGGAAAAGGTTTAAAGAAAATGGTGATCTGAAGAAACACCAGAGGATTCACTCAGGTGAAAAGCCGTTCAAGTGTTCCGAGTGTGGAAAAAGATTTAGTGAAAGTGGTTCTCTGAAGAAACACCAGAGGATTCACTCAGGAGAAAAGCCGTTCGAGTGTTCCGAGTGTGGCAAAAGGTTTAGTCAAAGTGGTCATCTGAAGAAACACCAGAGGATTCACTCAGGAGAAAAGCCGTTCGAGTGTTCCGAGTGTGGCAAAAGTTAGTCAAAGTGGTCATCTGAAGACACACCAGAGGATTCACTCAGGAGAAAAGCCGTTCAAGTGTTCCGAGTGTGGAAAAAGATTTAGTGAAAGTGGTTCTCTGAAGAAACACCAGAGGATTCACTCAGGAGAAAAGCCGTTCGAGTGTTCCGAGTGTGGAAAAAGATTTAGTGAAAGTGGTTCTCTGAAGAAACACCAGAGGATTCACTCAGGAGATAAGCCGTTCGAGTGTTCCGAGTGTGGCAAAAGGTTTAGTCAAAGTGGTCATCTGAAGAAACACCAGAGGATTCACTCAAGAGAAAAGCCGTTCGAGTGTTCTGAGTGTGGAAAAAGGTTTAATCAAAGTGGTCATCTGAAGACACACCAGAGGATTCACTCAGGAGAAAATCGTTCGAGTGTTCTGTGTGGAAAAAGGTTTAATCAAAGTGTCATCTGAAGCACACCAGAGGATTCACTCAGGAGAAAAGCCGTACGAGTGTTCCGAGTGTGGAAAAAGATTTAGTGAAAGTGGTTCTCTGAAGAAACACCAAAAGATTCACTTAGGAAAAAAGCCGTTCGTTCCGAGTGTGGAAAAAGATTTAGTGAAAGTGGTTCTCTGAAGAAACACCAGAGGATTCACTCAGGAGAAAAGCCTTCGAGTTCGAGTGTGGAAAAAAATTTAGTGCAAGTGGTTCTCTGAAGAAACACCAGAGATTCACTCAGGAGAAAAAGTGTTCCGAATGTGGAAAAGGTTTAATGCAAGTGGTAATCTAAAAAACACCAGAAGGTCCACAGAGTGCGCTGAATTATTTGTCTCACCTGTACATTTTGCTTTAAATGCAGGCTAAGATATAAAAGGACAGGGAAACATTTTGATATTTTTTTTATTTTGTTTACACCAAATGAAGGCCTCCGCTGACTAGTTTACTTTACCCAGTACGACTATCTGAAAACCTTACTTATACTTTTTATTCAATCCTCAATGGTAGAGGGATTTTTATTAAGGAATTTGGTGCATATCAATAAAAAAACGAAAGCAATTCTTGAGCAAGTTTGTTACTTATTTCCTATTTTTTGTCTCCAAAAGGATTGATTTATATAATATATATACATACGATATATAATATTTAATCCTACAGATTCGTTTTAACTTAAATAATACTAATACTTAAATAATAATAAGTTTTGATGTCCAGGAATTTTGGCGGGAAATCTTTGATCGTGACGTCATACTCGAGCACCTTTGAAGCTCAGACCTTTCAAGCACAACAAAAGATTCAACTTTACTATGAAATTTGATAATTTCTTGAACTGTAATATCTAGAGATCATTGTGCAATATGTCTCGTGGAATCAATGGGTATGGCGAAAATGCATTATGTCACGGCTTGAAACTAGCCGTTTAATCTTGAATAAGTTACCGAAACCACGTAAAAAATGCTTTGAAAATGAAGAGGGATCCGTCAGCGACGGCTTTAGATGACGTTAAAGCAATTATAATATTGATGATAATGATAATAATGATAAGGATAGTTATAAGAAGAATAACAGTGATAGAGGTAACATCACTATCACCATTATTATTATTGTTAGTGTCATCATTATTATCTTCATCATTACAATTACCATTTTCTTTTTCCTCTCGCATTTCTTTGTGCTTTCTCCCTTTCTATCTCTATCTCCCTCCTTCCCTCTCTCTATGCACACTCCCTCATTACAACACCCTTCTTCCCTCTCTCACTCTTTATCTCCTTCCCTCCCCCTCTCTCACACACTACCCCTCCTCCCTTGTTCTCCATCTCTTGGGTATCCCCCACATTTCTTACCTTTTCTCCTCCCCTCCTATCAACCTTTCAACCTCGCCTCCCCTTTCGCCACAACAAACAAGCATAACTTTGCATATTTGCTTTTCCTTACTCCCGCTCACTCACTCGAGACTCGCCTCATCAATTTGCCTTGCTTCATCCTCGTTTATCGGTTTCAACTCTTCCTCTTTCCGTCTTGTTTCAGTGATCCTGTCTTATTTTTATCATTTTTTATCTTTTATTCATGATTTTTATTTTTTTGTGGCTGACTGGGTCTATGGTATCTCTTTTTTCTCATTTTCCATTAGATTTTGCTCTCCTTTCCCCCTCCTTGTGCCACCTCTTTCTCGTTTCGTTTTCTCTCTCTCTGACTGCCTGTCTGTCTTTCTATCTGTCCATGTGTGTGTGTTTGTGTGTGTGAGTATTAAAGGCTCTAAATCCTCCTATATGGATTTATTGAATTACTGGTGGCGGTAGAGATACACTGATGTAGCTGTGCACTTTTATTTAAGAACACTAGTATGAAAGGAACGCGATACGGCTCTTGGTGCTTGTGTCCGGCCTACACGCCAACGAGGGTACGCCGACTACGGGCAAGCTCGCCGAGAGTATGAGAATGAGAGCTTGGGTCAAGCAAGCAAAGTTAAAAGAAAAGAGGTCGGCCACCCTTATATTCTGACCAGTGGGCGCAAGAGGGCGCGAACGGACCACGTGGTCCAACCACGCGGTGAGGACCCGGTCCATGTGGCATGCTATGCACTATGCTATATCACTAGGCACCTACGATATAGCATACTGCATAGCATGCTACGTGGTCCGGGTCCGCGCCGCGTGGCATGCTATGCAGTATGCTATAGTGAGTCTGTCCTTCACTCTCTGTATATTCTCTCTCTCTCTCTATCTGTATATTTGTCTGTAACTAATAGCTTGCATTTTTAATTTTATATAAAACGATATATCATACCTTTCAAATCATTAAACTGCATTCTAGTGTTGCCATATTACTACTGTGCAATGATTGAAAAAAAAATATAAATATAACGACTCAACTAAGACTTTGAATGAGAACGTTTTATTACCAGGACGTTTAGAGACAATAATAGTGAAAATTTGACAGCGCCCCTTGCAGCTGCCACTGACTTGGCAGGAGTCGACAGCGACATATACTTGCAGTAGGTTTGTTAAGATTTTGCGAGGTCCAACCCTATGAATGGTATTACATACGGATATGCATATATTTAGACGTGCATATCAACCGTTCAGATTGACACATAAATGTATATCTATCAGATAGACAAATATGCATTGATTTCTGTGTATATGCATGTCTGAATATGCCCTTTGCAGCTGCCACCAACTTGGCTGGAGTCCACAACGGTATAGCATCTACTTGGTCGTAGTTTCACACTCCTGGCCCAAGCTGGAGCACTCCACTCTGCCTTCCTCTTGTGACCGCCTCTTCTTCCACCGCACACGCTTCCCTTTGCTTGCATACCTGCACTTTATCTCTCCATAATCATGAAATTCCAACCACCTCCTCCAGTACCTTCCAGTAGATAATGGTATAGTGTAACACAGAGCAGTATGTTGGCCGACAATATATCTTGTATTTATGTGATAAATTTATGTGTATTAAAGAATGCTACATTTTCCTTAATCTTGAAATGGCATAAAAGGTGCATTGTCACGGGGACAAAACGTTTAGTTGGAAGTCTCACGGCGCAGCCTGCAACAGGATCACCTGAAGGCACAAATATAATTGGTTGTCCGGTCGATTTAATTACATACTTTAAATTTAAAATTTAGAACAATGCACAAAAAAAAAAAATATATATATATATACAATAAATATAAATACACATATATCGAAAGTTATAAAGATAGATATAGAGATAGATCTAGACAAAAATATATTGATAGTCATTGCCATGATTTGAAATTTTACAACACGAGGAAAACAATGAAAAACATGGATCTAAAACAGATAACTGATACATGATATTGGTTCAATATATATGCGGCAGCAAGACAAGAAATGCGTCTTCATTTATCAGCACTTTCCGTCTCGAACATTGTAGCCCCCAGTATCTCCAACTACAGAATACGTCACACTGTGGGGCCACCAGTACAATGTGTCAGCACTGCCTGCAGCAATAAGGGCTTCAAGAATAGTCTCTTGGATTCTTGCACACGGTTTAATCCTTTCTTGGAGGAGACATTCGAGCTGCAAACAAATAGATACCATTGCTATGTACTGAAATGCAGCTCACCTAATATACAAATAATTTCAAAATGGCTAACATAAATAGCAAATTCAATACACAAACATAAAATACGTACATCGTATCCCAAAGCGGGTAACACTGACACTTCACATCACCACAGGCACGTCACGGCACGACAGGTACATCTCAGGACAGCTAGACAGCCTGCACCCTTGCATCTATGCGAGACAATTCCGCTTATGTAAAACATATCAGGTATCAGCACTTGACATAGATTACACCTACATGGAAATAATGGCACTATTCTTATAAAGGCAAATACAGTATACTAATAAACACCAACCAATGCGATGATCACGTGAGGGTAGAAAATCACTCTGCAAGGCAGCAAGCCCAACGCCAGCGCTCTTCCCCAGACTACACCGAAGTCCTTGGGTCCACTGTGACTGCAACAATCCTTTAGCACTTTAACTGCCAGCTCTTCCCCAGAAATACTGGCGTTATACAAGAATGTCAAAGCACAAACGCAATTTCCATGAGCGTGTCAGTCAACAAAAAAACCTGTTCGAGCTGGTGGTGGCGCCTTGCCCAGGCTCTCCCAGCCAATCATAACACAGATTATAGGAAGACCAATCAGAACTAAGCGCTGCGTGCGTGAACCAATCAGCTTCAAGGATGGGAAACATTGTACAAATGGGCTATTATCAATAATTAGTCAATGCATATTTAAATCCCATTCTTACTGTCAATATATCTCTTGATATCAGTGATCGACTCAAACTCAACCTTCCGGTATAACCATATTCTTTCTTAATTACAGATGCTGCAAGGGGCGGGGCTACTTGTTGCCTGGGTAAATTTGGCGGGAAAACGCGGTAACGTCTTGGCCATATCACATATTTCAACTTATTTCACTGGATAAACAGGATATCTGACTCATAATGACAAATATAAATTCATTCACTTCTACATCAGCCTATACACACATACGTTTCACATAACATAGTCCACATACTAAGATATTTCAAATAAAAAAATGCCAGCAGCAAAAAAATGAAACAAAATTAGAACCGTTTTCTATAATAAATCATACGAATAATCGTATAATCAAAGAAAATTTAATCACTGGAAACTTACAACAAAATTCAAACTCGCAATATTCTACAAAGATAATATTACACGAATCAAACGATGCATTTAATTACTGCCTCACAAATCTATTTCTGTGACACTGCCTACTAAGACTTCCATTAAAAAGATTGCATCATTTACAACAAAAATAAAATAAATAAAAAAAAAAAACAAATAAATATATAAATGAAAATAGTGAGGTTAACCATTAATCTGTCTTTACTTTTACTTTGATAGGTTGAATTATGTGAAATATTTACACAGTAATCGCGTTTCTGATAAATAGATTGTCTTTAACATAAATCTGAAATTCAAATGACCAAAGAAAGTCTGGAAAATATAAATAAAGACTAATGTGCTACGAAGTCTTCAGCTAGGCTGCCCGTGTCTCACGCCTTGATATATTTTTGATAGCATTGAGCTCTCTTTGTCCTCTTACAGATGTAATTTGTAATTTCCTATATGTTTTTTCTGAGAACAGCAAATATCAATGCTAATACCAGTTGAAGTAATGACTTCCTTGAAAGCGATCCTGAACGCAATGACTTTTGGCGGGAAATCTTTAGGTGGATTCTCGCGAACGGATTGGTCGTGACGTCACGCCCATGTAGCTCAGAGGCTTAATCTTCAACAACAACAAAAATCAAGGCGTATCTTATGATTGAGGGCCTTCTTTGCCTACTCGCTTAATTTACCTATATCAAAAGATGATAGCTGTAATTATCAATGCTATAATTCATGAGTATGACGAAAACAAAACGTCATGATGACGTCACGGCCCCACGCAGCACGAGGCTCCAAGTGAATCGGCTCAGTCCGAGCCTCGGCATCCGTTGATCCTTTCGACATTGGGTTCAGGGAACATTTAGACTTCTCGGCCGCATAAGTGCGATGGCTGAGGACGTAAACCAACTGTTTTCGACGGAAGAATGACTCTCCTTCCCGGAGATCGAGAAGAATCGCTTCGAGAATATCCTGAGAAACTACAAAGCGATGAAAGACTTCGGTGAGTTGTGTCGCTTCGAATGTGCATTTCACTTCCATCGGATATTTACCGGAAACGGATTATTTCTTAAGTGAGGCCGTAGAGATGTGCCAATTCTTAAAAGAAAATATGGGTATCCACTGAAAAGGAAATTACTCCCTAAAACTCTGTTTGAACCCCTCTAGGTCTGGCTTGCCTCCCCCCCCCCCAAAGGGCACACTCACACGATATTTTTTGCCTTAATTTCCCTGGCCGTAGCTTAATGCTCCCAAATTAGCAGAAACTGTTTGCGCTCATGTGATAATCATTAATACGCTAATAGCAACAGGGGATAAACAAGCCGTGTGCAAAATGCTTGTCAATTGCATGGACTCAACCCGACGCCCCTTTTGTTACCAACAAAGACTATCTACGAAAGACCGGAAAGTCAAGCAAATCCTGTGAGTAATGCGGCGTCGGCGCAAATAGATGGCGTTAGTGAGCATCTCGTGACGTCTCATCTCATACCGTCTGTTTGTTTACATAGAAGCGCGAAAATTGAAATGGCAGTTCCGACAATGCCAGGGAAGTCTTATCCTTGTTCTGCTAGTAAAAAGCAAAAAGAAGAGAATAAACAACTTATATTTCAGATTTTTGGCCAAGGAAAAAGAAAGGTTTGTAATATTTATTTTTTTAGATATAAGCTAAGATATGTGATGTTTAGATTGACATAAGCAAGATATAAATTGGATCACAAGAAATTATTTTGATTGGTAAAGGTGTCAAGTCATGACGCCCGTCTAAAAAAGTAGAGGCCATAATTCTACTTAATATATAGTGCAAGCCTTAATCTACAATTTGTCTTAAGCTGACGATAGATTTGACATCAATAGAGTGAAAAATTGTGTCAGGTTGATTTTGAGATAGATTATAGTTATCACCCAAATCAACATATATATCGATTGAACAATGCTCATTACTTTGTAGATCTGTATAGTAGGAACAAAACAGAAATATAGAAAAAGAAATAAAAACCTGTTAATGAGGAAATTAATCTCAAAATCATGCGGTCGCATTGCGAAGAATTGAAATAATAATGTGTATTTCGGCCATTTATTTGTAAAGGTTTTGCTATTATTCTAATAAAGATATTGTAATCATTTTCTTTAATTCATCATACTCAATTTCTATGTATTGATGCATGTTTGGCAATATATATACATTATATGTCACTGTTATGTGACTGTAGGCCTATAAGTTCATTGTGCCACGTGGTTTAATGTGTCCTGTATATGGCATGTTGTATACGCCGTATGTGTGTGCATGTATGAACTACCAATTTACAGTTGTTAACCGGCCCTAAATTGGTAGCTTCGGGCTGGGAGGGGCGAAAGAATTATATGAAAAATAAATGCTACTACAAAGTCATGATACGATATGATATATATATATATATATATATATATATATATATATATATTATTTATTTTTTAGTAAATAAGCTATTCGCAAACCCCTCTGAATAAGTCTGAACTGACCAAGAACATGAACCCGAGTGAGCACACCCCCACTGAACGACGTCGGATGTTAGTTGGGCGTCGAGTCAACGGATGGCGCTGGTAGACGACCGGGGAGCTCACATTTTTTAGAATGCGTTAGATAGCATGTTTCCTCTTTCGTAGATAGTCTTTACCAAGGTCCACGGACCTGCGGCGGCACGGAAGGCCACCGCCAGGCCAGACTCACGACTCCCATTCTCCGACTCGGGCATTCTGGCAAGATGGAGGACCGAGTGGCTGTTCGATCATTGACAGATGGCGCATCGCCAGGGAGGTCTACGAGCTCCATCTTTGTAGAAAATAAGAGGTGTGTTGGGTTTTGTTGGAGTGCCAAGAGGCAGAAGTTTGTGAAAAAAGGAAATTGTAGAGAGTACAGCTAAGAGAAGGATAAGGAAACACAAAATCTCGAAGGCTTTTAGCGTCCATGTAAGACTCGTTGGTTACCTACGGAAGCGGAGGGTTAGCAAATACATTGCCTGGAAAAGCGTAGCTGTGAATATGTGGTATTTATATAATTATTTCCATTCATTTGTATACATACCCCCTTTCCCACACAAAAACTTATGCGCAGACATCCACATATACATCTGAAATGCGCGCATGCGCTTGTGCATAATGTAAAAACTCCTAAACACGCTCATTACAATCACGGTATTACCAAAATGCTTCACTGGATCCTGGGATTTCCTTCATCACCGGCTCATACACATTTATTCAAAATCTCTTAAACAACTGCAGCGCACTTTCAGGACTGGACCCCAAGCTCCCGGAGTTCGTCCTGCGACAACAGAGGAAGCGATGCAACGGGTTTGTCGCGCCCACAGCCAGGCCAGCTCGAGTCCTCGACTATGATGGAGACGACGAGTGGACGCCCGAGAAGGAGCGATCTAGCAGGTAGGGCGACGACTCCAGTTTGCATAGTGAATGAGGATGCATGTACAGTGCTTTTGCTGGAAGCTAATATAATGGAGGTTAATTGTTGTTGCAGGTATGCAAGCAAGAATGGAAGCGTAGGCAGTGGAAGAAGAGGCGGTCATAAGAGGAAGGCAGAGTGGAGTGCTCCAGCTTGGGCCAGAAGGAGTGAGAACTACGATGATGCGCCACTCAGTGTAGACCAAGTAGATGTTATACCGTTGTGGACTCCAGCCAAGTTGGTAGCAGGTGCAAAGGGCACTGCCAAGGTTTGTCTTCGTGCCTTTGTCTATGTGTTTGCTTGATGTCCTCCCTTTTTTTATCCAGATTCCGTGTCCGCTTCTGTTTTTGTCTGGGCATAGAAATGCAGGAGTCCTGGAACATAGTTTTTAAGCATGGGTTGTGCAGACTACGGCAGATATTGTCTATTTGGCAAGTGTGCCACGAGCAATAAAGTAAAGCGAATGTTGGATACCGTATGGCAATGGATTTGCATCGCCATTTGTCTGGTGTGATCATCTCTCTAAGGAGTGATTGGTGTGGGTGTGAGTGCCTACAGGTATGTCTGGGTGCTGGAGATCGACGGGAGAGCCGGGCGGCTCCCCCGACGGCTAAGGCCTAGGTAGGCCTGTTTGCTTGCTGTTGTGGTCTTGCTCTGCTAGAGGATCAGTGAGTGCTGATCTCAGTCCGGGCGGCTGAAGTAGTGCTAAGCTGTGTCAGCTACCGGAAGCGAGGGGAACCTGCTGTCCAAAGCGAGCCGGGAGCTGTCCGTTTCATCCAATCATTAGTGTTCGAGAGGCAGCTGACGTGAGGTGCTGAGGACGCAGCTGATGGACCTTGACCTAACCTGGGGAAGTATGCCACGCTGCAGGTTTCGGGGTTGGCTACAACCGTACGTTTGCGTATGCATGGGCCAAAGCACTCTTCTCCAAGTCACTTTTTCTGAGAAAGTCCATCGTAACTCGATTTTGTAACTTCTCGTGTACTATGTTTATTTAGGAGTGATATGAATTTTTTATTGACTATTTGCAGCGTCGCCAAGCTGAGTCATCCATATATCTATGCTTTATTACAAATGAAAAAATGTTCTTTGAAAATTGTTTAATCTTCCAGATAATGCCAACAACAGTCGACAAGTCAAGTGGAGCTTCCGCTGCAGAAAATGTTAAGCCAGAGGACAAGGGGATCTTTCCCGGTCCCATGTCACACTTGGCAACAGATACAGAGATGGAAACAGTGAAAGAGCTTCCAGCTGAGACTAAAACGCTTGGTGTAGGATCAGATGAAGAGGCCGGGGAAACAGCTGTTTTTCAGGAGAGTCCAAGACGCGGTACCCAAGACGTAGTAGCAGAAGGAAGCTGTTTTATGAAGAGAACGTTACTAAAGATGATTTTATTTGTAAGAAAAAGCGTTTGTTACATCTTCATAGGTGTCGTTGCGTGTATTTCATAATCTTGAATTATTTTCATTTCATCACTTTATAAAATTGTATATGATAGTTGTGCACTTAGGATTGTACATGTAGATAGATTCAGATACCATGAATTCTATTTGTTTGCAGATTGCGCAGACTGTGAAGAAGAGAAAGAGGGAGAGTGTCCGTACCACCCATTGTTCCTTATTCTGGATAACCCCGTAAGAATGAAAAATTAACTGGTGTGAAAATTTAACTAGTCACAAGCATAACTGATGATGATCATAGACACATGCACACGCACACATTTTCAAATAGCGTTATCATCCCAATGGTATGTTTGGCAGGTTGTTCGAGACGGCAGCGAGAAAGATCGTGCTCGCCTCACAGCCCCTTGGCCCCTCACTGTGTACGACTCGAAAGTGAAGGGGGCAGGAAAAGGCGTGTGGACCAATGCTCATCTCCCAGCCCATCTTGTGTTTGGTCCGTATGAGGGCCGTGTCCTATCTGGCCATCCGGAAGCCGGCAAAGAATCTGGCTATGGTGGAAGGTTAGTGTATTCTGTGGCGTAAAACATATCAGATAAATGTATTGCAGAATGATTTTTCAGCGGTTTTCTACAAACCACCAAATATTTTAAAGGAAATCCACTTACGCAAATAGTTGAAAAGTTCTTCACCTTCCTGTACTTTCCAGATTCGAGGTGCTGGAACAAGGAATACATGCATTGATGCTGTAGACAGTGCAATTAGTAACTGGATGCGTTACGTCAACTGTTCAAGGACTGACGCTGAGACTAACCTATCTGCATTTCAGTACAAGGGGCAGATCTACTACAAGACGGACTCTGCAATTAGCAGGTCAGTATAATTCAGTAGTGAAGTCAACTTTTCCTGACCATACACCTGTCATAACGTGCTTATTGATATTTAAAGATACAGACAAACAAGGCCAAACTAATTGTGAACAGGGGGAGCGAGCTGATGTGCTGGTACGGAGACGATTTCGGGAAGGATCTTGGTCTATCGAGAGAGCCATCCAAGTGGAAATCAGCGAAGAAAGACGCAATAGGTGCGCAAATACGTTTCAAAACCTTATTTCCCATTCTGAAGGGAAAGTGTATTCAGAAATTGTTGAATTTGAGATGATATAGATTGATATTGTAAGATAAATAATCCGTAACTAAGCTTGCTATATTCCAACGTGTGTGTGTGTGTGAGCATGTGCATGTGCATAAGTGCATTAGATGTATGTACATATGTATGTCTGCACATCTATTACATCAATGTATTCAAATATGTACACACACATACACACACACACACACACGTGTGTGTGTGTATATACATAGACATTTGCATGCACTCGTGTGTGTGTGTGTATTTGTATGTATATATATATTATATACATTTATGTATATATATATATTGTGAATTTAATATGTATGTGAATATGTACATATACATATAATGATGGTTTAACTGCTGTCAGTTCATCTATTTTCTTTGATAATGTATGCACTTTCCCCATGTCTGGATTTTTTCAGATCGACAGTGCGAATGGTCTGGCTTAGTCTACACCTCGAAAGATCTAATGCGTCCCCTAAAAGTGTTCAGAAAGCGTATTCGCACTTACACGCCGCCAACATGCTCCACGCGAGGAACCAGCAGCAGTAGTGGCTCAACCAAACAATCTTTGCGAGAAGAGGCGCCGCAGTTCCCGGAAAAGGCGTCTCATGAGACGCTGTGTTCGCCAGCATGTGATGAATATAATACTGAGTGTTCGCAGTGTGATTACAAGTGTGAATCTGCTGATATCCTAAATAAACATGTGTTAATACACAGTGGAAAAGAACTGTTGGAGTGTTCAGAGAGTAGGAAAAGATTTGCTGACAGTGATAAGTTGAAGGAAACCCAAAAAAATAGAATCAGGAGAAAGGCCGTTCGAGCGTTCCGAGTCTGGGAAAAAGGTTTAATCACAATGGTCATCTGAAGACACACCAGAGGATTCACTCAGGGAAAAGCCGTTCGAGTGTTCCGAGTGTGGAAAAAGGTTTAATCAAAGTGGTCATCTGAAGGCACACCAGAGGATTCACTCAGGAGAAAAGCCGTTCGAGTGTTCGAGTGTGGAAAAAGTTTAGTGAAAGTGGTTCTCTGAAGAAACACCAGAGGATTCACTCAGGAGAAAAGCCGTTCGAGTGTTCCGAGTGTGGAAAAAGGTTTAGTCAAAGTGGTCATCTGAAGAAACACCAGAGGATTCACTCAGGAGAAAAGCCGTTCGAGTGTTCGAGTGTGGAAAAAGGTTTAATCAAAGTGGTCATCTGAAGACACAGAGGATTCACTCAGAGAAAAGTCGTTCGAGTGTTCTGTGTGGAAAAAGGTTTAATCAAAGTGGTCATCTGAAGAAACACCAGAGATTCACTCAGGAGAAAAGCCGTACGAGTGTTCCGAGTGTGGAAAAAGATTTAGTGAAAGTGGTTCTCTGAAGAAACACCAAAAGATTCACTTAGGAAAAAAGCCGTTCGAGTGTTCCGAGTGTGGAAAAAGATTTAGTGAAAGTGGTTCTCTGAAGAAACACCAGAGGATTCACTCAGGAGAAAAGCCGTTCGAGTGTTCCGAATGGAAATAAGTGGTAATCTAAAAACACACCAGAAGATCCACAGAGTGCGCTGAATTATTTGTCTCACCTGTACATTTTGCTTTAGATGTGAGGCTAAGATATAAAAGGACAGGGAAACATTTTTATTTTTTTTTTTTTTTTACACCAAATGAAGGCCTCAGCTGACTAGTTTACTTTACCCAGTACGACTATCTGAAAACCTTACTTATTATACTTTTTATTCAATCCTCAATGGTAGAGGGATTTTATTAAGGAATTTGGTGCATATCAATAAAAAACGAAAGCAATTCTTGAGCAAGTTTGTTACTTATTTCCTATTTTTTGTCTCCAAAAGGATTGATTTATATAATATATATACATACGATATATAATATTTAATCCTACAGATTCGTTTTAACTTAAATAATACTAATACTTAAATAATAATAAGTTTTGATGTCCAGGAATTTTGGCGGGAAATCTTTGATCGTGACGTCATACTCGAGCACCTCTGAAGCTCAGACCTTTCAAGCACAACAAAAGATTCAACTTTTACTATGAAATTTGATAATTTCTTGAACTGTCATATCTAGAGACCATGTGCAATATATTCGTGGAATCGATGGGTATGGCTCATTACAACACCCTCCTTCCCTCTCTCACTCTATCTTTATCTCCTTCCCTCCCCCTCTCTCACACACTACCCCTCCCCCCTTGTTCTCCATCTCTTGGGTATCCCCCACATTTCTTACCTTTTCTCCTCCCCTCCTATCAACCTCTCAACCTCGCCCCCTTTCGCCACAACAAACAAGCATAAGATTGCATATTTGCTTTTCCTTACTCCCGCTCACTCACTCGAGACTCGCTCATCAATTTGCCTTGCTTCATCCTCGTTTATCGGTTTCAACTCTTCCTCTTTCCGTCTTGTTTCAGTGATCCTGTCTTTTTTTATATATTTTATCTTTTATTCATTATTTTTATTTTTGTGGCTGACTGGGTCTATGGTATCTCTTTTTTCTCATTTTCCATTAGATTTTGCTCTCCTTTCCCCCTCCTTGTGCCCTCTTTCTCGTTTCGTTTTTTCTCTCTCTGACTGCCTGTCTGTCTTTCTATCTGTCCATGTGTGTGTGTGTGTGAGTATAAAAGGCTCTAAATCCTCCTATATGGATTTATTGAATTACTGGTGGCGGTAGAGATACACTGATGTAGCTGTGCACTTTTATTTAAGAACACTAGTATGAAAGGAACGCGATACGGCTCTTGGTGCTTGTGTCCGGCCTACACGCCAACGAGGTGGTACGGCCGACTACGGGCAAGCTCGCCGAGGTATGAGAATGAGAGCTTGGGTCAAGCAAGCAAAGTTAAAAGAAAAGAGGTCGGCCACCCTTATATTCTGACCAGTGGGCGCAAGCGGGCGCGAACGGACCACGTGGTCCAACCACGCGGTGAGGACCCGGTCCATGTGGCATGCTATGCAGTATGCTATATCGCTAGGCACCTACGATATAGCATACTGCATAGCATGCCACGTGGTCCGGGTCCGCGCCGCATGGCATGCTACGCAGTATGCTATAGTAAGTCTGTCCTTCACTCTCTGTATATTCTCTCTCTATCTATCTGTCTATCTGTATATTTGTCTGTAACTAATAGCTTGCATTTTTAATTTTATATAAAACGATATATCATACCTTTCAAATCATTAAACTGCATTCTAGTGTTGCCATATTACTACTGTGCAATGATTGAAAAAAAATATAGAAGTATAGAACGACTCAACTAAGACTTTGAATGAGAACGTTTTATTACCAGGACGTTTAGAGACAATAATAGTGAAAATTTGACAGCGCCCCTTGCAGCTGCCACTGACTTGGCAGGAGTCGACAGCGACATATACTTGCAGTAGGTTTGTTAAGATTTTGCGAGGTCCAACCCTATGAATGGTCTTATATACGGATATGCATATATTTAGACGTGCATATCAACCGTTCAGATTGACACATAAATGTATATCTATCAGATAGACAAATATGCATTGATTTCTGTGTATATGCATGTCTGAATATGCCCTTTGCAGCTGCCACCAACTTGGCTGGAGTCCAGAACGGTATAGCATCTACTTGGTCGTAGTTTCACACTCCTGGCCCAAGCTGGAGCACTCCACTCTGCCTTCCTCTTGTGACCGCCTCTTCTTCCACCGCACACGCTTCCCTTTGCTTGCATACCTGCACTTTATCTCTCCATAATCATGAAATTCCAACCACCTCCTCCAGTACCTTCCAGTAGATAATGGTATAGTGTAACACAGAGCAGTATGTTGGCCGACAATATATCTTGTATTTATGTGATTAAATTATGTGTGGTATTAAAGAATGCTACATTTTCCTTAATCTTGGAAATGGCATAAAAGGTGCATTGTCACGGGACAAAACGTTTAGTTGGAAGTCTCACGGCGCAGCCTGCAACAGGGATCACCTGAAGGGAAGCACAAATATAATTGGTTGTCCGGTCGATTTAATTACATACTTTAAAGTGTTTTGTTAAATTTAGAACAATGCACACACTCGAAAAAAAAATAATATATACAATAAATATAAATACAAATATATCGAAAGTTATAGAGATAGATATAGAGATAGATCTAGACAAAAATATATTGATAGTAATTGCCATGATTTGAAATTTTACAACACGAGGAAAACAATGAAAAACATGGATCTAAAACAGATAACTGATACATGATATTGGTTCAATATATATGCGGCAGCAAGACAAGAAATGCGTCTTCATTTATCAGCACTTTCCGTCTCGAACATTGTAGCCCCCAGTATCTCCAACTACAGAATACGTCACACTGTGGGGCCACCAGTACAATGTGTCTGCACTGCCTGCAGCAATAAGGGCTTCAAGAATAGTCTCTTGGATTCTTGCACACGGTTTAATCCTTTCTTGGAGGAGACATTCGAGCTGCAAACAAATAGATACCATTGCTATGTACTGAAATGCAGCTCACTTATACAAATAATTTCAAAATGGCTAACATAAGTAGCAAATTCAATACACAAACATAAAATACGTACATCGTATCCCAAAGCAGGTAACACTGACACTTCACATCACCACAGGCACGTCACGCACGACAGGTACATCTCAGGACAGCTAGACAGCCTGCACCCTTGCATCTATGCGAGACAATTCCGCTTATGTAAAACATATCAGGTATCAGCACTTGACATAGATTACACCTACATGGAAATAATGGCACATCACTATTCTTATAAAGGCAAATACAGTATACATAAACACCAACCAATGCGATGATCACGTGAGGGTAGAAAATCACTCTGCAAGGCAGCAAGCCCAACGCCAGCGCTCTTTCCCAGACTACACCGAAGTCCTTGGGGTTACCACTGTGACTGCAACAATCCTTTAGCACTTTAACTGCCAGCTCTTCCCAGAAATACTGCGTTATACAAGAATGTCAAAGCACAAACGCAATTTCCATGAGCGTGTCAGTCAACAAAAAAACCTGTTCGAGCTGGTGGTGGCGCCTTGCCCAGGCTCTCCCAGCCAATCATAATACAGATTATAGGAAGACCAATCAGAACTAAGCGCTGCTCGTGCGTGAACCAATCAGCTTCAAGGATGGGAAACATTTGTACAAATGGGCTATTATCAATAATTAGTCAATGCATATTAAATCCCATTCTTACTGTCAATTATCTCTTGATATCAGTGATCGACTCAAAACTCAACCTTCCGGTATAAACCATATTCTTTCTTAATTACAGATGCTGCAAGGGGGGGGCTACTTGTTGCCTGGGTAAATTTGGCGGGAAAACGCGGTAACGTCTTGGCCATATCACATATTTCAACTTATTTCACTGGATAAACAGGATATCTGACTCATAATGACAAATATAAATTCATTCACTTCTACATCAGCCTATACACACATACGTTTCACATAACATAGTCCACATACTAAGATATTTCAAATAAAAAATGCCAGCAGCAAAAAAATGAAACAAAATTAGAATCGTTTTCTATAATAAATCATACGAATAATCGTATAATCAAAGAAAATTTAATCACTGGAAACTTACAACAAAATTCAAACTCGCAATATTCTACAAAGATAATATTACACGAATCAAACGATGCATTTAATTACTGCCTCACAAATATTTCTGTGACACTGCCTACTAAGACTTCCATTAAAAAGTGAGATTGCATCATTTACAACAGTAAAGAATAAATAAAAAGAAAGAAAAAAAAAAAAAATAAATATATAAATGAAAATAGTGAGTTAACCATTAATCTGTCTTTACTTTTACTTTGATAGGTTGAATTATGTGAAATATTTACACAGTAATCGCGCGTTTCTGATAAATAGATTGTCTTTAACATAAATCTGAAATTCAAGAATGACTAAAGAAAGTCTGGAAAATATAAATGGAAGACTAATGTGCTACGAAGTCTTCAGCTAGGCTGCCCCTGCCTCACGCCTTGATATATTTTTGATAGCATTGAACTCTCTTTGTCCTCTTACAGATGTAATTTGTAATTTCTTGTTTTTTTTTTGTTCTGATGAGAACAGCAAATATCAATGCTAATACCAGTTGAAGTAATGACTTCCTTGAAAGCGATCCCGAACGCAATGATTTTTGGCGGGAAATCTTTAGGTGGATTCTCGCGAACGGATTGGTCGTGACGTCACGCCCATGCAACTCAGAGGCTTAATCTTCAACAACAACAAAAATCAAGGCGTATCTTATGATTGAGGGGCCTTCTTTGCCTACTCGCTTAATTTACCTATATCAAAAGATGATGTTCTGTAATTATCAATGCTATAATTCATGAGTATGACGAAAACAAAACGTCATGATGACGTCACGGCCCACGCAGCACGAGGCTCCAAGTGAATCGGCTCAGTCCGAGCCTCGGCATCCGTTGATCCTTTCGACATTGGGTTCAGGGAACATTTAGATTTATCGGCCGCATAAGTGCGATGGCTGAGGACGTA